ACACACACACACACACACACACACACACACACACACACACACACACACACACCACCAAGTGTAATTTTGAGCACATAAACAGAAGATTCAATCATGATACTCTCAAGAGAAAATCAATCAGTGCTGATGGGAAGAACAAAGAAAAAAATGAAAAAAAGAAAGGATGAATGTGGAGCAGTTAAAAGGGATGCTGACTTTTTGCCTTTTATTTGACTTTAATGACTTTGTTTTTAATTTGGCGCAAACCCAACATGCTTTAAATATGTTATTCCTTCAAATCTTAATATAAAACAGTAAGCAGCCCGAGCAGGGGCCACTCTGATCTCTCTCTCTCTCTCCCTCTCTGCATAAGTTGGATACCCACCTGTGCTGATACCGTAGGTGCAGTCTGGAGAGAAGCGGGACTCCGCTCCTCCGCTGYCGGCGCGCGGCTGCTGAGACGCCGCCGCCGCTGAGGTGGATGTCGGCACCCTGCTGCTGGGCCTGCTCTCACAAGGGAGACGATGCTGCTGCTGCTGTCGGGGCGCCTGGTGATGCTGCTGACTGCTGCTGATAGCGACGCTGCTTTGATGGAGCCGCTGCTGCTGCAGCCGCTGATGGTGTTGATGCTGCTGCTGGAAAGGATGCGTCTGCTCGGGGTGAAATGTGAAAGGATGCCCGGCGTCTCCAAACCGAGGCTCAGAGCGCGACTTCCCCGCCGAGCGCTTGCTCTGGAAGGGCTTCAGGGTGCTGTACGGACCCCGTTGTTGTCGGCACATGATCTTCGGGGCGCAGGGCCCTTCGTCTGCGGGCTGCATCTCTCCCTCCATACCGGCAGGGTGGAGTCAGAGCAGCGGGCGGCCGGGGCTCGGTTCGCTGGCGGGCTGGTGGTGACAGACAGCTGATGAGAGCGAGCCAACCGTCCACTGTCTGGCTCAGTTTCTCTTTTCACACACACACACACACACACACACACACACACACACACACACACACACACACACACACACACACACACACACACGGAGCAAAGGGTGGGCTACGTTACCGACAAGTCTCCGCTCCAATCCACAGCCGAGACTCCACCAGAAGGAGACACGCGGGCGGGACTACTTCACTCCTTCCTCCACGAGTCCAGAACACAGAGCTGCAACATGTTGTAAGCCTAAAACAAATAACCAGAAAAAAAGGTCTAATCTGCCTTAAACAAAAGTTCTAAAACATATAAAATACTGTATATTAAAAATTATGTCATAAATTTGCATAAACTCATCAAACAATGATTTCAAGTTATGATTGGAGAATCTGTCCATAATCTGCACCCGTACAGAAAAGTCGCAAAAATATCACTTTTTGTGAAAATATCACCTAAATTAGTTGTTAATATTTGCAAAAAAAAAAGACAGACAAAGTGCAGCCCAAAGACCCCTATGATGAATAGGAATACGATGGATGGATTCAGTGTTCCCTTGCCCGGACGTGGGTCACCGGGGCACCACTCTGGAGCCAGGCCTGGAGGTGGGGCACGTYGGCGAGCGCCTGGTGGCCGGGCTTTCGCCCATGGAGCCCGGTCGGGCACAGCCCGAAGAGGAGACATGGGTCCCCCTTCCATRGGCTCACCACTCGTGGGAGGGGCCGTAGGGGTCGGGTGCAATGTGTGTTGGGCAGTGGTCGAAGGCGAGGACCGTGGCAGTCCGATCCTCGTATACAGAAGCTGGCTAGGGACGTGGAACGTCACCTCTCTGGTGGAGAAGGAGCCTGAGCTGGTGTGTGAGGTTGAGAGGTTCCGATTAGATAAAGTCAGACTCACCTCGACGCACGGCTCTGGAACCATTCTCCTCGAGAGGGGTTGGACACTCTTCTACTCTGGAGTTGCCCATGCTGAGAGGCACCGAGCAGGAGTGGGCATACTTATTGCCCCCATCTTGGTGCCTGTACGTTGGGGTTCACCCTGGTGAACGAGGGTAGCCTCTCTCCACCTACGGGTGGGGGGTCGGGTCCTGGCTCTTGTTTGTGCCTATGCGCCTAACAGCAGTTCAGATTTACCCACCTTTTTTGGAGTCCTTGGGGGGGATAACTGGAGAGCGCTCCTAACGGGGACTCCCTCGTTCTGCTGGGGGAATTCAGCGCTCACGTGGGCAATGACAGTGAGTCCTAGAGAGGAGTGGTTGGGAGGAATGGCCCCCTGATCTGAACCTGAGCTGTGTTTTGTTATTGGACTTCTGTGATCGTCATGGATTGTCCATAACGAGCACCATGTTCAAGCATAAGGGTGTCCATACATGCTCTTGGCACCAGGACACCCTAGGCCACAGTTTGATGATCGATTTTGTTGTCGTTTCATCTTATCTGCGGACGCATGTTTTGGACACTCGGGTGAAGAGAGGGGCAGAGCTGTCAACTGACCACTACCTGGTTAACACATTCTCACTCCCGACTCGTCACATATTGACGCTTTTCCAAGGTTCCCTCTGTGTCTTATTTTGACACGTCGGATACACCCGTCGCATCATTTTTTGACGCACCAGGCATTTTTGTGTTTCCTCAGCATCCAGGTTTGATGCGTTGGGATGCAAAATATAGGGGTCTTTGACTTGGGGTCTGTAGTTAATAGTAGGGATYAGGGTTAATTTTAGGTAGTGGGGTCAGGGATAGGATGTCTAGRGTGAATATTATGTAATTTTAGGCTTTGGAACATGTAGTTCATGTGAATTTCCYACAATTCCTAAAAATGGTTAATTTCAGGTATCAGGGTTAATGGTTAATTTTAGGTACTAGGGTCATGGACAGCATGTCTARAGYGAATAAAGGTAATTTTAGGCTTTGGGACGGTAGTTTTGSTGCATTTTCTACACTTTATGAAATTATGACAACAGATTCCGCCCCTTCTCGTCAATAACTGACGCAAGGGGGTACCCAACGYGTCAAAATCAAACACAGAGGGAACTTTGGAAAAGCATCAATACTATTTGATGACTTCGGAGTGAAAATGGGTTGACCTGGTAGTGAGTTGGCTCTGTTGGTGGGGGAGGATGCCGGTCAGACCTGGCAGACCCAAACGTATAGTGAGGGTCTGCTGGGAATGTCTGTTAGAGTCTCCTGTCAGATGGAGCTTCAACTCACACCTCCGGGAGAACTTCGAACACGTTCTGGGGGAGGAGGGGGACATTGAGTCCGAGTGGGCCATGTTCCGTACCTCCATTGTCGAGGCGGTTTACCTGAGCTGTGGCCGTAAGGTTGTCGGTGCCTGTCATTGCGGAAACCCTCGAACCCGCTGGACACCATCGGTGAGGGATGCTGTCAAGCTGAAGAAGGAATCTTTGGCATGTGGGAGTCCGAAAGCAGCCGATAGGTATCGGCAGTCGAAGCGGATTGCGGCTCGGGTTGTCGCTGAGGCAAAAACTCGGGTGTGGGAGAATTTTGGAGAGCCATGGAAAAAGACTTCCTTACGGCTTCGAGGTGATTCTGGTCCACCATCTGGCATCTCAGGGGCGGAAAGTGGTTCGCCACCAACACTGTTTGGTGAGGATGGTGCGCTGCTGACCTCAACCCGGGATGTTGTGGGTCGGTGGGCGGAAAACTTCGAAGACCTCCTCAATCCTACCGACACATCTTCCCATGAGGAAGCAGAGCCTGAGGACCCTGGGTCGGACTCTCCAATCTCTGGTGCTGAGGTCACTGAGGTGGTTAAAAATGAGATGGTGGATGAGATTCACCCAGAGTTCCTTAAGGCTCTGGATGTTGTGGGGTTGCATTGGTTGACGCGACTCTACAATATCGCGTGGACATCGGGGCAGTACCCCTGGATTGGCAGACCGGGTGGTGGTCCCCCTATTTAAAAAGGGGGGGGGGGCACAGAGTGTGTTCCAACTATAGGGGGATCACACTTCTAAGCCTCCCTGGTAAGGTCTATTCAGGGGTCTTAGAGAGGAGGTTCATCGGATAGTCAAATCTCAGATTCAGGAAGAGCAGTGTGGTTTTCGTCCTGGTCGTGGAACAGTGGACCAGGTCTAGACCCTCAGCAAAGTCCTGGAGGGCGCATGGGAGTTCGCCTAACTAGTCTACATGTGTTTTGTGGACTTGGAGAAGGCATTCGACCGTGTCCCTCTGGCACTCCTGTGGAGAGAACTCCGGGAGTATGGGGTACCATGCCCATTGATATGGGCTGTTAGGTCCCTGTACGACCGGTGCCAGAACTTGGTCCACATTGCCGGTAGTAAGTCAGACTCATTTCTGGGGAGAGATGGATTCCTCCAAGGTTGCCCTTTGTCACCGATTCTTTTCATAACTTTTATGGACAGAATTTCTAGGTGCAGCCAAGGTGTTGAGGAGATTCTTTTTGGTGACCTTAGGATCACACCTCTGCTTTTTGCGGATGATGTGGTCCCATTGGCTTCATCAGATCCTGATCTCCAGCTCTCACTGGAGCAGTTCGCAGCCAAGTGTGAAGCGGTCGGAATGAGGATCAGTGCCTCCAAATCCAAGTCCATGGTCTTGAGACGGAAAATGGTACTGTGCCACCTCCGGGTTAGGGAGGAGATCCTGCACCAGGTGGAGGAGTTAAAGTATCTCGGGGTCTTGTTCACGAATGAGGGAAGAATGGAGCGGGAGATTGACAGGTGGATTATTGCTGCATCAGCAGTGATGTGGGGGCTGTACCGGTCTGTCATGGTGAAGCGAGAGCTGAGCCAGAAGGCGAAGCTCTCGGTTTACCAGTCGGTCTACGTTCTTACCCTCATCTTTGGTCATGAGCTTTGGGTAGTGACCGAAAGAACGAGATTGTGGATACAGGCGGGCAAAATGAGTTTCCTTCGCAGGGTGTTTGGGCTCTCTCTTAGAGATAGGGTGAGAAGCTCAGTCATCCGGGAGGGACTCGGAGT